CGGATCGATGTGGGCGATAAGACCAAACCATTTTGTATCTCGGAAACTAATAGATTTAGTTTGAAGGGATACTTATGTGTTCCAAATGGTCATTTTTGTTTGATCAGACAAAGCTATATTGAAAACAATAATAAAGCCATTTCAATATCTTTGCATCCACAGTAATCCCCCACTTTTCTAGATTTTACATAGTCATCTTATTATAACATTGAAAGAATAGATTAACGTTCCCTGGCCAATGCTTCAGAGTGGCTTTTGCGGTAACATGACTAGCTCTTCCGTAGTAGAAGCTCACCTTTCACCTTCTCGGAAAAACTTCATAATGTGTACTTTCCGCCCTATTGGATTTCCCAAACAGACAGTCGGAAGGCTTTAGTACAAAGCCAAATTGCTCTGAGAGCGAGTCCGTAAAACATAGCGCGAACGAGCTGTCACCACTTTGCTTCGCGCACTACCGTAATCGTGAGCGATTAGGCAATTGTTGTTCCGCGCTGCGATTGATGGCTGGCGCCGCTAATCCACGAATTTAACGGATTGATGAAGAGGTGAGGAAGTTAGAAAGCGTAGACAACTAGCACAAATCATTTCCGATAGGAAATCTGAGCTAGTCAGTGTTTGTTTGTTTGCTCAAGGCGTGTTTAACAACGGTATGGACACTTAGAAACAGTTGAGCATGAGTAAACCCGGGTCGTAGACCTTAGTTTCGCTCAAAAATAATGAGCAAAAAACTGCTTAGTTAGTAAAAGCAATAACGTGATGCTGAGAGTAACACCAGTTTTCAGTAGTCCTACCGTAATCCTATCGTAACACAGATAAGACAATACGCAAGGGAAATGCTTTGTGGCGTTGAATCCTCAGCGAAGCGATCGACCAATAAGTCAAATTGATTTTGTAACTTTTGACTACGAAGAACAATAGTTTTATGGTACAGCAGTTACCATAGTGCTGCCGTTCCTACCGTATCACAGATGATGTAAATGTGCGAAGGAAATGGTTCGTGACGTCGATATTCTAACAGAAAGATCAAAATTTCTCCTTGGTGACTATAATTCTTCTGACTCCAAAGTGCGCCAATTTTTTTCAAACAATAGCATCACAGCTTACCGTAGCCCTGCCGTTATCCTACCGTACGACAGGTGATATAAGTGTGCAAAGAAAATGTTTGCAACATTAACATTTTAACAATATGATTAAAGTAGGTTATTATTTTTAATTCCATAATTTCAACTCCAGTGAGCGGTAGTCCGATTACGACGAGAATAACATTAGCCTACAGTAGTCCTACCGTGATCCTATGCATCGCAGATGACATGTATGAAAAAGACTGTATATTGCCTGGTTGATTTTTCAACAAACTGATGAGATCACCATCAGAGTACTGTTTTTAATTTTTACAAGGTCTGACTCCAAAGAGTTTGGAACAAGACTAGCAGTAGTTTACCGTAATCCTACCGTAATCATGCAGCCATACAGTATAAATGTGCAAAGAAATTGTGCTGTGTCATTATGTCAAGCAATCAAGATTGCAGTGGATATATTTTCAAAATTTTGTGCTCCCTCCCACCCCCTACTTTCCATTTTCTCCCTTCCCCCACCCTCACTTCCCCGTGCGCCATTAACAAAAGCAAGTTCCACATCTGTTGCCCAGTCACTATAGACGTCTGGTGCATCGCGAGACACAAGTGCATGACCATATGTGACCGAGAGTACACGGAAACTAGCAGAAGCTTCACATAATATGATTTTGAAAGTTACCTGAGTGAACTGTCCATACATGGGTCGTTTTCTGGCTTTGTAACCACGTGGACGTCGTCTGAATGCACCTTCTTCCAGGAGGAATTCACAGTTGTCCGAGATCGTCCATTTATGGCCTTTGCGACCCCTGCAGCATAGGAATTGGGTGTTCTGCAAAAAAAATTTGATAATTGCAAAACTACCTTTCCCCAGCCTCTTTTGGCAATTTCACAAAACAATCATTTAATGAGAGATTGTGCCTGATGGAATTTCTCCAGCCCACATATTCGCCTCGAAAGAAATCGAAATGTTCTTGTAGAAAAGTATAGATTTCCGCCAGTGTTGCCCTTTTGTCCGGTCGCTTCTAAAAACAGAAAATGTGGAGTATATCTTGAGAATTCGAAATTTTTAGTAATAACCTGAATTGCCATAGCGATCAAAGCTATGTAACTGTAAGGTGGCTTTTCCTGCCTTTTGGTGCGGCTTTTGCGATTTTTCTTAGTCGACATCTGCTAAAGTTTTTTCTTTACTTTGTATTCCTCAACAAATACAACAAATCACCTCCTCTTCCTCGGTCTCTTCATTCTTGATTGTTGCTAATGGCTCTAAAGAGCAAGCCAACGATGGGAATGAGGTGCTGAAATGGTGGTGATTGTGAGCTACAATTACACTTTTCCTTCGAAGTAGAAAAGAATACGCTGCAGTTATAATGTACTTTACTAGCAATATTTACGCACTTCTAAAATTCGGTTTTTCATGATTTTGAGTTATATTCTGAGCAGAAATTGAAATATTCGCACGAAGATGATTGGATTCTTTTTGGTTTCTAAAAGTCTCCTCGACATAAATCACCTGAGTGGAGCGACTTCCTGCGGTTAACGTTATTATCTGCTGGTTAGAAAAATTGCATTCAAATAGCTAGCTAAGCAGGTGTTAGAAACAAGATAATTTCAGCCGCTAAATGCTGACATATTCTCTAAGCTATGGAAAAGAGAACATTTGTTTTATTTTGACTGTAAAACCAAAGTGACTGCCGAGCAAAACTAATTGTTAAATTTATACTCAACAGAAGAGGGAAAGAATTGAAAGTTACTTTGGGCAAGGAAATCTCAACAGTATGCATTCTGGCTTCATAAATGATGACGCAAGAATGGTTTGAAGTTTCCTCACTAGCTCAAGAACGACTGTGAGGTTAAGAAAGAGAGATGATAGCTCGAAGTGAAATGGAAATACGAGAGCCCAAATATGGGTTTTATCAACCCAAACTGCCATTTTCATCGTTAGGTTGGATCAAAATTGCAAACTCGAAAAAAA